AATTACAAAAATTGGCCTCCAAAGATACTTGGAAACTACAGAAGACTGGATGATGTTATGTGTTAAAGAACATAAAAGTAGTAAGCGCCTTTACTCCGTAATAAAGGAAGCCAACAAATTCAAAATGGCGTTTCAAATGGGCATATAGAAACTGCAAATAAATATAATAATCCTAATATAAAATAAAATAAATAATAATTATGAATTAATTTAAATATTTATAATACTTTTGAGCAATATTTAATGTTTTTTTTTTTTTTGGTTTTGTTTTTGATTTGGGTTTTTTAGCTTTGAAAAAACGAGTCATCTCTGCTTGTGTTCAAAACGCCATATATATATATATATATATATATATATATATATTAACATTGAAGTCTACACCCAAAGGTGACACTCTGTTTCAAGCTAAATGCAATCGTTAGGCCTAATTAGTTTTACCTGACTTACCTTTCTAGAACCTTACAATCCTGATATTATGTACAAAATGCCGTTCCATTTTGCTTTTTGTGTTAAGTGGAATTGCCTCCTTCAAGATATTTTTTACCATATATTGTTTCAAAGGAAGCACCTCAAAGAATGTTTGACGTCACTTTTAGTAACTTCATCAGAACAATTATATATCTCAAGATCCTTGATAAAATCCAAAAATATCTCTGTAATGTAATCGATCCTAACCTGACATCTCAACCTCAATCACTCTCCACCGCCATAATGTGACTTCCCCCTATTTTTCTATAAATATTTCCATAGCAATAGCTCTGATGAGCTTTCCTCTTTGGTGCTTTGGCCGCATGAATTTAAACGTACTACTAGATTGGCAACTAGGTCTCACCGTTTTACTGTTGAACTAGCTAGATATAACCATAACTTCTATTCAAATAATTTATTTTCTAGGACTTCTTGCCTGTGGTACTCTCTTCTGCTTTCCTGCTTCCCTGGCAACTACAATCTTCAAAAATTTAAACGTAACATCAATCGTCATTTCTATCTTCCTGAACCCTGTTCTGTTATTGTCATTTCTCCTCACTAATTTCTTCTCATTCTCTTTCACTCCAAGTAACACCTTGCGTATTAGTGGCATTATTGCCTTGCTTGGGGTGAAATGTATAAAAAAAAGAAATTCCATGCCTGTCGTTTCGCTGACAGAAAGATGATCGTTTTTAAAATCTAAATTGCTTGTCAATCTATATTGCATCTTTTAGAAAATATATTACATTACATTATGCATTTAAACACATAAGAAGTCATAAAAATGACTCCAAAAGACCAGCTTATAATATTTTCCTATTATCCAGAGGTTGTTGCCAAACAGAAAGGGAAATTAGCCCTCGCGATACCGATGCCTATTTCATTCAAATTCTCTCTGGATGTACCTGGGCCAGATTTAGATGAAGAGTAGCCCCAGGTTATTCCACTTGTGAGGCTCCTCCAAATTACCGAACGATTCTGACAACTTTCATAAAATCTTGTAGGTATGTTCATGAGATCCATAAAAAATAGCATACCATGAATAAAAAAGGCCTTAAACTTAATGAAAATAATTTTTTATCGTCTAATTGTTAATGTTATTATCAAGAGGAAAGATCAAAGTATTTTTGAATATGTTTTACATTTTTTAATAATTTCTAGCACGTCCAAAATTTTCGTTAAATATCTTGCATTTATTTGAATCAGCTAAATTGACATAAAATCAATCGTCAGACACTTTTTTAAACTTTTGTTTACAAAAGTGAAAGGCTCCGTTTAAAATTCATTTAATAAATCAATTATGATTTTTTTAAAATTAATTTAAGAAAATTAGAAATTAGAAAGTTTATTTAATATATTTTGAAACAAAGATTACTTACTTTCTGCGCTGAAAAAAATGTTCTTTCAAATGAGAGAACAGCGGTGTTGATTGACGAGTGACATCTTACGTGAGGAAAATTATAGTACGGAAGGTTATAAGTGACAGTTTACCTTTACGTGGACAACTTATTTACCTCGTTATTTTTAAGTAGGCATAGCATGATAAAAACGGCCTTAAACTTGACGAAAGCAGAATTTTATCGCCAAAATGTTTATGTTACTATTAAGGGAAAAGAACAAAGTAATTTTTAATTATTTTTAAAAGTGAAAAAACGCATGATGAAACTTTCAGAAACTATTCAGGAATGATAGAAATTATTATAAATGTTGTTTTTTTTAGTCATTTTTTATATATATATATTACCCCTCCCCAATAAATAATTTAATGAAACTCTAGAAATTCAATGTTGAAGCACGCAAATCATTATATACAAAATCAAGTCAAGTGATGTTTCTTCCTGGCTTCCGTACATTTGAATTATAACTGTTTTTATTGACACAAAAGGCAAGGAACAGTTAGATTTTTGTAACTGTTGGTTCCAAAAAGGCTTGTGCAATTTATAATCTGCACAGATCCATGTACTTAAAAAAAAATATTAAATACAAGATTCGAAATTTCTCCTAATTTTACAATATTTAACAACTTTAATGTAAAAATAATAAAATAATTTATGAAATAACAATTAATTCTTTTAAAAATTCATTTTTCATCGAAAAAGTTTTTTGCCCTCAGACAATATTAAGCATATTCATAAAAACAAATAAAAGCAACTACAAGCATTTAAAATTAAATAGTATCTTTGTTTTATTGCGTTTTGTATGTTACAATTCAGACCTGATTTTAGGTAGATGAGGTCGTTTTTTTAAAAAAAACAAAACCTGATTTACTTTCCTCAAAGCCTTGTATTTTTAACTAATATAATGACTTGCGTGCTTCGACATTGAATTTTTAGAGTTTTCATTAAATTATTAAGGGGGGGTAATATATATATCTTACTTATTATAAAATGCAGATTGTGTGTGTGTGTGTGTGTGTGTGTCTGTAACGTTTATATATTGGATCGGATTTCCTACATTTTTAGCCGATTTCAACAAAACTTCACAGGACTACATAAAATTACCTTGTGGTGGTTCTAACGGCGCCGAAAATGGGAAAGACACAATTGTTTTTTAACAAAATCAATTTGAAAACACGATTAAGACACATCGTGAGAATGAAAGGGGGACAACTCACATCGGGTTAAAAAAAAAAACAGGTTGTGTGTGTGTGTGTGTGTGTGTGTGTGTGTGTGTGTGTGTGTGTGTGTGTGTGTGTGTGTGTGTTCCTTTATATATGGGATCGGATTTCTTACATTTTTCAGCCGATAAAACAAACATCCACTTTTTTTTTGGCAGGTAGTGTTTCTTATTGTCTTGCACACTTTTTTCTTTATTTATACATTCAGAATGCTTTAAAAATTCCATTTACAAGACAATTGTTTATAATAAAATTCTAATCTAATTCTATTCAATCGGGGGACTCATCATAACGACTGAAAGCAATGTTTTTATTTGAGTTTGGGTTTGAACAATTCGTAAAAAAAAAAACTAAGACATGCGTGTCTGTCAACCTAAACAATAATCTAACTATCTCTACTGATTGTACGAATCGAAAAATCGGATAATACTTTATCTTTAGGGAAAGATAATTCCACGTAATTTAGGGCCGTTTTTACAATTCCCTTTGCAATTTGTTACAAGGCAGATCAATAAGGCATTGGTTCTATTTGAAATTAATTCAATATTTAAAAGAAAGTATTAAGAAATAATTTAAAAATGCCGACGTAAGAAATCTGATAGACAAAAAACAACAATATTTCGAAGATGATAATTATTAAGGAAAGAACACAGTACTTGTAATAAATTAATAAACCCAAATAAAGTTAATATTTTTTGTATTAGAAACAACGAGTGGAAAATATATTCAAATCAGAATTCTAATTATGAATCACCACAAGCAAAATATGCAATTTTTTTTACTGTATTCAATAAGTAAAAATCATAAATTGTAAAAGATTACAGAGAAAGGCTACCTACATTTTTCAACCGATTTCAACAAAACTTCACTTTTTTTTTTTTGGCAGGTAGTGTTTCTTATTGTCTTGCACATTTTTTTCTTTATTTTTACATTCAGAATGCTTTAGAAATTCCATTTACAAGACAATTGTTTATAATAAAATTCTATTCATCAATCGATAGACTCATAACGATTGTAAACAATGTTTTTGTTTGAGTTTGGGTTTGACCAATTCGTAAAAAAAAAAAAAAAACTAATTAAGACATGCGTGTCCGTCAACCTTAAACAATAATCTTTGTCAATTTTATTTTTCAGTCTTTAATGATGGTCGATACTTGATCTATCTCTTACTGTTACATCCCCGGCAACGCCGGGCTCTACTGCTAGTATATAATATATTTTTTATAATGACCTTAAAAAAAATAACATATTTATAATAATTTCCATCATTCCTGAATAGTTTCTGAAAGTTTAATTAAAATCTGACAATTATTTCTATTTTTGCAAGATTTTCAAAATTAATGTCTGCCATTAAAAAAATGCACAAAAAATTCGCTATGTTATTTACTAGAGTTCCGGTGATGACGAGAAACAAGGTTTGGTGTCTTTTTCATCAGACTATGCTCTTTTTTAGCGATCTCATGGTTTGAAAGTTTTAAAATTATACGTTTTTTGTTTTATTTTTTCTTGTTTCCAACTTTAGGATTTTATTGCTCAACTCATGGGCGGGGAATTCCAATGTCTTATTCCAAACTCAGCTAAAGTGCGTATATGTGTGCATAGGTTTGCCTGTGTATACATTAAATAAAACAAGCACGTATAAGTCACTCACGAACAACACAGACACACACGTATACATTACACACGCGCATGCAAAATCACACACAGATGAATAAAGAATCAACTATTCTTTTATACTATAGATATAAATATATTTCTGTATAACAGAAATGCAAAAGTGCTACTCTGGTCGCATAATGAACAAAACATTTACATTAAAATCTTTCCCTAGACGCAATATTTATGCACACTGGATTTGAATCCTATACCCGTAAGAGTTTAACATTGTATAACGAACGAATAAGTAAACTTCCTTTTATAGATAGATAGATAGATAGATAGATAGATAGATAGATAGATATGGAAGACTGATAGATAGATAGAGATAGATATGGAAAGATAGATATAAACAGACTGAGATAGATAGATAAATAGATAGATAGATAGATAGATAGATAAACAGATAGATAGATAGATATAAAACATAGATAGATAGATAGATAGATATAAACAGACTAGATAGATAGATAGATAGATAGATAGATAGATAGATAGATATAAAACAGACTGAGATAGATAGATAGATAGATAGATAGATAGATAGATAGATATAAAAACAGACTGAGATAGATAGAAAGATGAATAGAAATAAAATAGAAAGATAGAAATGAAAAAGACTTAGATAGAAAGAAAGAAAGTATGCATGATATATAATCAGATTAAAATTTTTCCAGGTATTGTTCAGCAAATATTCAAATTAATAAGGTCTTTTATATTTAACACTTGAAATCGGCGTGAGAATAACAATGAACTGTGTCAATTGTTCACATAACTTTGTTAGTCTATTTGTAAACTTTTAGAATCCATCATACCTACAGATAAACATCTCATAAAAAACAACTGATCAGAGTTGTTGTGTGTGTGTGCGCGCATTGTGCCTGAAAATATCAAAACATCTGAGGAATTCAATTACAGTAAACCTATGTTTAAGTCACAACCCACTGGGCGTGTCTTCACACGTAGCAGGCTTGTTGAACCATTGTGTACCATTCAGTTAATAGAGAATGGTCATATTACCGCATCCAGTCATTTTTCTAACATTCCAATCCCATGAAAAGGAAGAAGAAAAAAAACAAGAAAAAGGCAAACAATTTAAGCCGGGATCTTCCGCACAATCTTTGTTTTTTTGTTGAGTTAAAGCAGTAGTTAAGGTTGCCGGGTTATATAAGGTCCAGAAGACGTGTCGGTAAACTCAGAAAGATCTCAGCTCGTAAGAGACACGTCTCTAGTCACAACATAAAAGTTTTTTCTGCTTATTTTATACATACATACGTATAAATATATATTATATATATGTGAATGACCATGTTCTTCATGTCGACTATCAGCTGTTTGACTTTCCTAATACTTCTCGGCTGTCTACCTTTGGTAACAGGACAGTATCACATTGCGTCGTTGATTGCTTCTAAAATTGATCCTAAATATCCAGTGATGGCCAGATCAAACGCGCTTGAAAAGAAAACAGTCCTTTTGAAATCCGGAAATGTTCTAAAAAAACCCTTTATGTGTCAGGAAAGACGCCGAGTATACAATAGCAGGAGTACGCTACTCAAACGACGGAGGCAAAGATGTTATCAGCATTTGGTTTAATTCTAAAAAGATCGGCTCCTTCACTTCTATCAGTAGTTCAAGTCAAGGTCGGTCGTGGAATGTTTTCCATAATAGTGGACAGTTCGGCAAGGCCATGAATTTGAAAGTTGGCACCTATTTACTCGAATTACGTGTGGAGTCTGCAGATATTTACGGGATTGAAATAGATGCTATCCTCTTTCAAACAACTGACATGACTGTCGGCGGGGATATTCTCCGGTGCATGCTACATTGCCTCCCCAGCCACCGACCTGACGAGATTATATTAAATTCTACTGCAACTCCGATGCAAATTGTCCAACGAAGTTTTCCGACTAATTGTAGCGAACAAGATAACATTGACGTGGCTCTTTTTCGTGATTACATCACTAGATACCGAATAACAGCAACTTATCCCAAATATAATCTGTCATTTAACCCCAGAGACGCTATCTTTGAAAACTGTGAAAAACTTAGTCCACAACTTCTCTGGCGACTAAAAGAGAAGACGTTCGATCTGGAACAGAATGTCAAAACAAACCTCTTGTCATTTGAACTGAATTTAGTCAAAGAAAAACCGTTAATAATCAATATCACATTCAAATTAAAAGGCAAAGATGACGGGCTTATTGATTCCGATGTTGGATCATTTCTGAAAGTTCAGTTTCAGAATGTCTACCACAGCTTCGATATTAGTTGCCGCTATATAAACAGGGATGGAGATTTCTCAGAGCCGACCCAAATTGTCATCACTAAGGAACAACAGTCTTTCAAGTACAACATCCCAGATTATAGTTGGACTGAACATGCAATCAACACAATACAATTAACTCTTAATTCTCCGCTGGACCAAGCTCTCAAAATTGACACTATGGAACTCTCACGCCGAGACGAAAGTGGACAGACAAATACAAACATTTATCGAGACGAAGATATATTAATAGAAGGAAGAAACGTTGATTTTTGGTGGCGTCGACCTCGAACTATGACGGTTAAGAGTCAAAATAAAACTTTTCAAAATATCGATTTTATAATCATCTACAAGCGTATACCGTCCACGAGCCGTTATAACCAAATATTGGTTCTTTATGAGGACAGCAACTTCAGAATTTTACCTCTACCACCAAAACATATCGATTGGACACCGTTCGGCTCTTCAGTGATCATTGGCCAAAGTGAGATTACCAGTTTCCGGCCATTTGCCGATATTTCTCACATCGAGATTGTATCCATCGAAGACGGCATTATTCAGATGCGTCTTACTTACTTCGAAGGTGGTTCAGCGCTTATAAAAGTAAGCACCGGTGATCTGAAAACAGTGCTCGATGTTTCCGAACTACATTTCGAAAAATCACTCAAGAAGTATCCCTTCGCCCGTTTTCGATCAATGTGGGTAATAGACGGTAACTGTGACGTAGATCGCATGAGAGTCAACGGTGGTCAGAATATAGAGATCTTGAAGCCGTGGAAGAAGCTCAACGGTATCATGGTGGAGTTTTTCAGAATGTGCGAATCGGCACACCTAAATCTTAGTCCCGACATCAGGCTGCAAGTATTAAACTAACTTTTTAAGGTATTCTGATCTCACTTTGTTCCGAAATGAATTTGGTGCTACCGCCATTTTAGGTATATTTATTTTGTTGCTTACGAAACTGATTCTGAAATATTAATGTTGCTATGTAATTTACAGGTTACTATAGTAATATGATAGTAATACTGTATACTATAATAGTAATACTTTAATTATATAATTATAACAAAGAGTTCGAAAGATAAACTAAACATATACCGGTATATAATGTGTTTTTCTACTGTACGTTTACATTATCAAACTGCAGTCCAAACGCAATGATCTCAGACATTCGCGGTATTATGTACTTCTTATTTTAAATAATTTTTACTTATTTTAGATTTTCCATTCAGGTATTAAAAGATGCCCATACCTTTATATGAACTTCTTATTTTTAAGTTTTTTTATATAATTATTTTATTGGTACGTTTTACTAGATCTCATTGTTTTATGTTGAAATAACTAGATATAACCGTAAGTTCTATTCTAATAGATTCTTCCTCCCACTCTCCCTCTTTCCCTCTCTCTCTCTCTCTCTCTTTCCCTCTCTCTTGCCTGTGGAATTCTCTTCCAGTTTCTTGCTTCCCTGACACCTACAATCATCAAAAAATTAAATGCAACATAAATTATCATCTTCTGTCTTCCCGAATATCTGTTCTTTTATTGTCCTTTCCCCTCTTTTAAGTCTTTTCATTCTCTTTCACTATCATTAAGCCCCGGCATCTTAGTGGCATTATCGCCTTGCTTGGGGTGAAATTATTTTTAAAAATATATTCTGATATCGACCATTGCCAACGAACGAGATATGTTTTAATTAATGTTTTAATCTTTTGAGCCCTGACCACCGTTTTAACGGTGGTAGAGAAAAAATGGCTTAATGCCCAGCCACCGGTTGAACGGTGAGTAAACACTTGTAGCTATTTTTTTATATCTACCGTTAAACATTGCATACCAATTATTTGCGAATTTTGACTCAGGGCATCAGGTAGAAGGGTTAAAATTGTTCAGGAACGCAGAGATCAAAGGGTTAATCTACCTGGTCATATGTGTCTTAGATTCGAGTAGGTTAGCGATTACGATAGACCCCTGAAGGAGGCCGAAGAGTATTATGACCGAAATGTTGTGAGTATAACAACCAAGGTGAGGATATTAGTCTGAAGGAAAAGTCTTAATTATAACTTATAACACTTTTCCTTTTCATTGTTATAAGTTATAACAATGAAAATTTCCCATTTCAAAAATTTCGATATAAATTATTCCTCTTTATTGGTTAAATTAGCAGTGTTAACTTATCTATATTATATAGCAGGGCCCCCAAACTTTTTTAGACAATCTACCCTCCCCCAATCATGGAAACATTGGCCTCTATTGTTGTTTCTCAATAATAGAAGTATTGATCCTTTATCTATCAAGCAAAAATATCAATAATGATCATTGTTTTATTTAAGTATGGAAAATCCTTTGACCTTTTCCTCTATTGTTGTTTCTTAATAAGATTCATTTTAGCTTTACGTTTTGTTAATCCTTTTTCATTTATATTTTTCTTCCTATAATCAATGTTTTTGCTATAATAATAATAATAATAATAATAATCTCATAAATAATATAGCTAATAATATACACATTAAAAGTAAGTAAATATAAGTTTTTTATTGAATTGTTTGACATCAATAATACGAAATATGTTCGCTGGAGCCATTGACATTTGATTAGAAAATTAGTGAGTTTTAATCGGAAGTCACCACAATTTATTTATCGACTTATTTTGACACTCAAATATTTATCGGCCCTCTTTTTACTCCTCAGATATTTATCGACGCCCTGGGTAGTACTATCAACCCACAAATGTCGGTAATCACTTTGGAGAAACCTGTAGCGAATGACTACTTTTTTCTGATTAATGAAAAAGCGATCTCAAAGATAAGAAAATACAATGTTTCATAATGTATTACTATTTTGATATTGTGAATTTTAAGCAAAAACAATTTGAAGTTTTACTTTCGATTTACTATAAAAAGCGTACAAATGAATTTCTTTTTTTTCTGTAAATATTTTTAAGCATAAGTAATAATTATTATAACAGTTTATTAACAAAAGAAAATTGCCAGTCCGATAACCACGAATTATTACAAAAATAGTAAAGGCTGACTCAGAAGATAGATTATAAAAGTTTCGATATCCGCCAGTCGGCTACAAGTCTCGACCCTAAGCTGTTCTCTTTTAAATAACATGAACTGTTAATTCTATATTAATGGCAGCATCTTCGAATTATGTTGACTGTATTTAAATGAAAAAAAAAGTTAATATTTGGTTGATATTTCTCTTTCTTCACCAACTATCGATAAAATAAAAACATTGCTGTCTTCTAGCGCAAAAACCAAACGCAACTCAAATATACGGTCCTTGTAAGCGGACCCTTCAATCTTTGTAGTTGGTTCTGGACTCTCTAGGTGGGATAAAACTTTGGATCATCAACCCTCTTGCGTGAAGCATAAAAAAATATGTATGGACACCTGTTTTGTTTTCCTACTACTTTAGACGTTCTCTTTCGTGGATAAAAATATTTGAGTGGACATTCCTGATTTATAAACAATAACTCTATGTCTACCGATTTCAAACGTGTGTATCCACTTTAAAGTAATAAAAAAATAATATCGGATTATAAATAAAAGCCATTCATTCCATATGAATTGTGTTGCGTTTTATATATACGAACAAAGTTTTTTTTTATTATTTTGTTTTTTGTGTGTTGTATTTTTGCTTCTTTTTTTTTTGCTTTTTCTTTTTTTACTAATATTTTGGGATTGATTTTTCCCTTTTTTCATTTTGAAAGCTTTTTAATTTGTTTCATATATACTTTCACTCTGATTTTAAAACAATGCACGAATCTTTCGTGAAGCAATTTAAAAACAATTTCACTTCAAACAACTGTTAATCACAATGATCTTGTTGAAAGATGCTAATAAGAATGGACCATTTGTAGATGTTTGTTATTGTCGTGTCCACTAAAATATCAACTACAATATTTATAAACCAATCACACTCAAGAAAACACTTACAACTTAAAACACACCAATAAAATAATAGATTACAAATCAGAATGTTTGTTGTATTAGTCATCATTATTTTTAGGTAGATACCGACCAAATATCGTACAGACGTAGTAGAAGACATACCACGTGACTTCTTAGGGCCAATTAGAAATAAATAAATAATTTAATTCTGGAGCCGATATTGTTCGGAAAAAGTGTATAAAAACATACGAAATCCGTTCCCAAAACAATATACACGCAGCTGCCAGCAAGCTACACACACCTTTCGCCGATGACCTTCATGACCTCATGTCAAAAACGACGGCGTTGACAAACTCCAGAAGACGGCAACACCGCCAAAAGTAAGAAACAATTCGTATCTCTAGTATCCGTTTTTACTATGAATCACGCACACACATGTTGACTTTTTCATACAAACACACACATCACAACATTTTATTGTTTCTCACACGCATACACAAAGACAGTTTATATTTTATTTCAGAACTTTATCAACACAAACAAAAGACATTACTTTCCAACTTTTTGTATTCCTATCGTTATATTAAATCAATGTTTATTTGTTGAAACTACGTCGTCTTTTATACTGAATTTTATTCCTTCAATGAAAAGCGTTTGATTATTCTCGGCGGACAAATTACGAGCGACCCTGTAACGATATTTTATTAATGTATTGAATCCCGACACTCCAAATTTTAATATTCAACAAAAAACCGAGTAGAAGGATTCCTACAAATGATGACCACGACTATTACCTTGTGAAAACACGAAAGTTGCTAAATAGAACACACAAATTTACGTATCTTAAAAAATAAAAATAAAAAAAAATGGAGCAACAAAACACAAATAGTACGGAAGCTTCATTGACAACAGTCACCCTGAATTTACCTGCATATAACCCTAACAACATAAAATCATGGCTTATACAAATGCAGGCCATATTCAACGCGAAGAAAATTGTTTCGCAAAGAGCCCGATACTGTTATTTAGTAGAAAAACTTCCAGCAGAAGTTGTAGAAGAAGTGAAGGACTTACTGGAAACAATGCCAGAAGAAAACCCCTACGATACATTAAAAACGGCCATAATTAAACGAACTGGAATTTCGAATGAAACAATGCTGCGCGATTTGTTTACCCGGTTGGAACTAGGTGATCGGACTCCTTCCCGGTTATTAAGACATATGAAAACTCTGTGAGGTACTAATGTCATGGCAGAAAATATTCTACGGAGATTGTGGTTGGACAAACTACCCAGCACAATGACGCAGATTTTAGCACCCATGGTAGAGGAAACTGAACTAGAAAAACTTGCGGATTCTGCTGACCGAATCCATGTTGGTTTTAGAGACAGGGAGGTGAACACATTGACACCGCAACGTACAAACCAACAACAAAACGAACAAATTGAGAAACTGCAAGCAACGGTTGCAAGTTTAGCCAAACAGATGCAGTCTATCTTGAAACTGCATCAACAACAACGGACTTCTCGTAATACTACCTGACCTAAGTACAGACGAAGGAGTAACAGCAGGAGTTTCAGCAATGATAGAGGACGACGAAAATTCGACATCTGCTACTATCATTATAAATTTGGTGCAGAGGCAAGACGCTCTTTGAAACTTTGTGCCTTTGTAGACCCGGCATCGGAAAACTTAAATTCCAGCCAGTAGAGACGACGACTGTTGCTGGACTCTCACAAAAAGGTCGTCTGTTCTATATCCTTGATAGAAATCACGGTTATAATTTTTTAATAGACACCGGAGCCGAAGTGAGTGTTTTACCGCCGGATCCAAAGCAAAATT